TCTCTCTCTCTCTCTCTCTCCCTCGAATGAATCACCAAGACAGGTCATCACTGCGGGATCACTATCCCCTTTTATAACGCCTGATCCGAGCCTAGCAATCTCGAGACACAGTCCCGGCTCCTCTAGCAGTGCGGCCGCCTTGCCCCATTCTTCCAACCTGGGCTGGATTTGCACATCACATGGCGTTGCGCACTCTGCTTACGCATCTTTCTCATTCAGCTGAAGAGTTCCGTGCCGGCTTGAAGAAGCACATGACCCTTGGCATCTACTGAGACACTCGCTAGACCACGAGTACCGGTCTGGCAATGCGGGGCCATTGGATTCGCAACGCATCTTTTGTGGCGATTAACGATCTTACCCTCTGATATGCCCGCAGCTTCATACGTAGCGCTGTCTGATTTCGGGTGGGGGTGGGGCGGGATCTGCGAAAGCGAAAAACGGACGACCCGCTGAAATTTGTTGCCACCCAGGAACCTGTCGTACAGAACGATGCAATTCTCAATGATATGCTGGCGATCGGGCAGGTCATCCATCCTTTGTCGGTGCAATTTGGACAGGGTGGATGGACTCGCAAGAGAAGCCGGCTACTGCATCATCCTTTCTGCTGAGCATCTTCAAGAGGCTTTCGTAGCACTTCGCTTCCGCCTCGCGCTCCTGCAACATTTCCAGCGCTGCCATCAGTGCTGCCAAACAAGCAGGGCAACATCACAAACGGTACACCTACCTTACAAAGGGGACTGCGCCACGTTGCTGAAACGAGTCGCCTACAGGTGAACTTCCCGCTTGCCCCGAAGTCGAGTCTTCGCGTTTTCTCCCTTTCGAGTCTCGGAGGGTTCATCCTTTGCCTTTCGAAAATGCGTGGCTCCTCGTGATCACGGTAGAGGGCTGCAGCTTGCTTGAGATGCTCCTGGGAGAAGCAGCGCGCTCTGCAGCCCTGTAGAATCGCAGGTTACCCAAGCTGTGTGAATTTGACCTTGCTTGAAGCGAGTGTCTGCTTCGTTGCTGGCACTCAGACGCTCGGCTGCCCGCAGGGGTTGGCCCAGGCATTCGTAGCAGCCCGCCTGAACAAGCGACAACAAAATACAAAAGGAACTACGAGTAGCGCGAAGTTTTTCTTTTGGAGGAAAAGTCAGTTCAGACAATAGATAGCTCGTGGGGCCGAGAGCTCCCGGGGAGGCTTAAGCGTGCCTGTGAGTCGCGTTCGGAGAGACGACGACCGCCGTCTGAAGTTGTTTTATAAGGACCAATGGTCAACAGCAGCTAGCAGCTAGCCTTGCCTTCTCTTCCCTAACCAGCAAGCAAATGCAGCTGGTAACAGTAAGTAGACTCGACGCCATGTAGAACAGGCACTGACAACAAGGAACTATCGCGCGAGCAGATTTTGCAATCATTTAGCACATCTCCTCGGGTCGTTTGACCACCCATGAATGTCACATGCCGCCACGACGGATGGTCAAGACCGAGTGTCGATGCTTGTATACAAGATGGACCTTTCTTTCTATACAAGATGGACCTCTCTCTCGCTCTCTCTCTCTCTCTCTCTCTCTCTCCGCGCGCTGCCTGTGCGACGCTGAGCGTTGCCCAGCACGCGTGAAGAAACTAAAATAGAAACCATAATAAGCCTCCTATCCTAGGTCTATGGTGATATCGGCTTTCGAGCTGACAGGTGATGCCAGCACTGCAGCTGCTTTGAAGTATTCGAAGATCTATACTCGATGACGTTGACGTCAACATACTGACACATTTTAGTGAAAGGAGCTTCGCGGCTGTTTGCTTGGGATGCTAAAACCCTAAGTTGCGCGACGTTTTGTTCGTCAAATTCGGTGTTGGGATCGCATACCTGGAAAGCATCTTTACATGTCTCAACAAACTGGTTCGCCCTTGGCTTTCCGACTCTACGAATGAGCTCAATACGAGGTCCATCCGTCGCTTGTTATTGGGTCGTCCGAGGGAGCCCTCAAGATGTGGTCTAACAGTGGTTTTGCGCTGGCTCCATTTGTCTGACAACTTGACATGCTGACATTGGGATCGTAAGTGCAATTCGTTTACTATCCGGTTGGTCCATTCCAATTTCCATATGGGTAGGGAGTACAACCAATTGTCGTCACAGCATCTTCGCGGTAATCGCACTGTCTCCAATCCATGCAACAATCTTTTCATTGCAACCACATCTAAAATTATCAGTGTCCATCTCTTTGAAAGGCCGATTTTTGACCAGAGTATCACAATTTAGTTTGCTGTAGCATGAGCTTCGTCGTGTTTTTAAAACTACTTTATATGATGATGTACTGCATCTGTCCATGTGGCACCCGAGTATGTCGCTCGTGCGGGCTCTGTTTCCACAGGACTGGCGCTGATCCAACGTAAGATTAACATTTTCCAGATTTAACTTCATGTCTGTTTCCTGATTCTTGTTGGATTTGGCGCAGGCGCTTGTTATCGAGCGTGTATGGGCACCACAAATGAAGGTTTCATCTGCATATAAGATGTCAGCGCAATGTAGCCCTGGGATTGGTTCAACTTGCTTTGGTGCGGTAAAGACCGACTTTATGTCATGGAAGATAGCTGTCATAATGATATACATACATACGGAGACAGAGGACATCCTTGTCGGATTTCTGAATTATTGTCGTGAAACCTGATTTGTCTTCCCTCTTGCGGCTCGGAATTTGTTTTCTCGGTACACGTTTCTATTGTTCTGATGATGTTAACGTTTTCAGGAAGCGACAATCTATTGAGGGTGTCTACTAAGCGGCATTGACCAACCTTGTCGAAACATTTTTCCCAATCCAGCAATATCAGCGACTGTTTGTTCCCTTTCGTGTTGCTCAAGTCCATATGTCTTCTTGCCATAAGGCCGCTTGTGCCGTCGAATTATTTTAAATTTACGAAAGAACTGTGCTTCTGATAGCCATGGATCGATGCCTTCCACTAACCTACACTTTAACAAGGCTGCGAGAGTCTTTTAGCAAGCTTGCAGTGAAGCAGTTGGCCTGAAGTTTTCTAGAATAGCAGAGTTTTCGGTTTTGATAATGGAGGCTATGTTGAGCAAGTTTCGCAAGTCATAGGAAAATGTACTAAGAATCAAACCTCCATTGTAATGCAGCAACAAACGACGTCTGTTACCAGTACCCAACCACGTAACGTCAGGTCCAGGATTTGGTTGAACTTGAGATTTTTCAGCACTGCGCCAAGCTCGGGGATCCCATGCGGTATACTTAACCGTCTCTCCGATGTCCGAAAGCTTGCGCTGATTCGGTTGGGTGTTGTTTGTTGGTGTTTCCACCGAACAAATCTTGAGCCGCTTCATTTGGACATTTACACTCAGGAATGTAGTTCCCATCGGCATTCTTCTACTGACAGAGTTGGGCTGTATATCTTTCTCAGCATGATCACCCCCCTCCAAGCGTATCCTTCGTCTAGTTGCCCATATCTGTCCAAAGTGTCAGGGGGTTGAAAATTAGGCGCTGCTTCATTTCCGCTTGGACTTGTCTTTCTGTACTGGAGCGTTGACAGTAAGATTATGTTCCTGACAAACCCCTGGCTCGAGTAGCTTGTTGAGCAAGACTGAGTTGCTCAAGTCGGCTCCGTTCTTCCCTAAACCTGTGTTCGCCGAGAGTTTCTGTCTCGTGCGGGAGCCTTCCATAAGCCTAGCATTGAAATCTCGAAATTGTGTCCGCTTCGTGCTTCGGGGTGATATCCAAAACCTTGCCCAGCTCGTCGTAAAGGTCATCCTTATCCACCGGACTGCTTCCCGCATGCGGTGCATAGGCAGATCATAAATTTTAATCATTAACAAGACGCGCCCTTGCAGTGTGCGTTTTCCTGCATGCGCTAAACACGTAACACGAGCTAATAAGCTGAGAATTACAAATCCATGAGAATCTGGCGCGTCTGAACTCATGCGATGGCCGTCGGGATACTTCCAGCAAAGAACTACTCAGTGCGATGGAATATGCCATTAAAGCCCGTTTCTGTTCATCTGCAGTCTTTTTGAAAGTCCGCAAGGCGCTGCTGTTTATAGGCAGGGTATCAACATGCAGTGCCAGTTTGGTTGGGAACTACCTGCGGCAGCAGACATATTGGTATGATTTCACATTAGTTAGACGAGATAGGTTAAGTCGAAACAATGGAGCAAGGCTCTTGGCCGGCGACATGAAAGAAGCATCTAACCTTGCGCCAGCAGGCTCAGACCGAAAATTCAGCTTCAACCCTTAGCCCGCACCATGGCCGCCAACGCACTGGTTACGGACTGCAAGAGAAAGGGTGGCCGGTCTTTTGGACAACCCATTGCTAAAGAAGAGCTCATAAACGTGCCTCCTGCTTCAAGTTTCCAGCACTCCTGGACACACTTCAACGGACCCATGCGATTCTAGTTGTCGCAGGTAGCCGTAGTTGTCGTCGTCGTGGTGGTGGT